CCTGAGAAATTCACATCTGGCCAACAGCAGGACCAACAAATCACAAAATCAGGCCAGCAGAAGGCCTCAAAATTCACATTTTCGGCGACACAGGCCCGAAAATTCACAATTTTTCGGCATTACACAGGCCCGAAAATCACAAATAGGCCCACGTCCCTAAGGCCCAAAAATCACGATTTGGCCTAAGGCCCAAAAATCACGATTTGGCCTAAGGCCCAAAAAATCGCGATTTGGCCTAAGGCCCGAAAAAATCACAATTTGGCCTAAGGCCCAAAAATCACCATTTGGACTAAGGCCCAAAAATCACCATTTGGCCTAAGGCCCGAAAAATCACAATTTGGCCTAAGGCCCAAAAATCATAATTTTGGCCTAAGGCCAAAAAAAATTCACATTTGGCCTAAGGCCCAAAAGTACAGAAGCAAAGGGAGCTTACCTGGGCGAAGATGCCGGTCATGGAAGCGTGAGTGTCAGCGTCCGCGGTAGGCTTACCTAGGCGAAGATGCCAGTCACGGAGGCGTGAGTATCAGCGTCCGCCGTAAGCTTGACCTCGTCAAGAGAAATCCCCAAAGACTCCAGATATTCCTCACCTAGATATATTCCATCACAAGCTTATAGATCCGAGGAAGCCCATGAAAGAAAGGTTCTTAAGAACTTTTAGAAAGTGCGAGATTTTGAGAAGAGATCTTTGATTTGGCGAAAGGCTTAGATGAAATGAAAAATGAGTCCCATATTTTTCAAGCTTATATTTTAAGCAAATAGCCAAATTGGGGGGTATCCTGAACGCGTCTATATTCCGCCATCAAAATTGCGTTTCAGAGAACTCAACCGACGTCCATAAATATCATATTATTTTGGTACGCCGAGGGGGGGCAACTGTAATACTCAAATTTCTGGAGGCTAAAAGACCAATTATCCCTGGAACTGCCACAAGTCGGCCGGACCGACAGGGCCAATTTTGGTAATACAAGGAAACAAAAATTATGACCAAATTTTCCTATCTAAACAAACAAACAACAAATAAACAGTTTCCTTTTCACCCCCCCAATGCAACCCACTTTCACCGAAAGTACGCGCATATGGTACTTAAAACGTCCGGGATGTCCGCGAGGATCGAGGCAGAACTGGTCCGGAAATAATTTTGGAGGTCCCAAGAACTCCCGGAAAACCTTGGGAGTGAAAAATAACGGGGATCCCCACCGCCAGGCGGCGTACGGCCGCAACGGAACACGACGGCAAAGCAGCCGCCGGTTCGAGCGGCAAGCAGCCGCCCCGCCTCCCGGCGGCAACTCCGCCCAACCAGGAGCACCGCGGCACCTGCCGCCCTGGACCCGAAAATGACCTATAAATAGGCCATTTTCAGTCCAATTTCGACACCGCTGTCTGTGTTGACGGACGATCTTTCTCCCCCTGCGCTCTTTGCAATTCTTTTACCGTTTTTTTGCATTTTATTTAATTTTTATTGCATTTTTATTGTGATATTTGGACACTAAAATTGAACAAAAAAACTTAATTAATTTTCCCTAAGCAAGGAGCTTAAATCTGGAATTAAGAAGTGGTCGCCGATTAAATCAGGTACGAAAACGAAACTCTGCCTATTTAATTTTAGCAAACTTCAATGCATACCTTCTCTCTACTCTTAATAATTCTACAACTGCATATGCATTCAACGTCATTAATTTGAGCAAATAAATTGCCTCAAAGTTAAAATGAATTTAAGCTTAAAACGGCCCGATTAATTAATAATCGTGGTATTAAAGTTTTTAAATCGACAATAACGGCTAAGATGCCTAGTTATATCATAACTACGATGTAATTAGCCTTTATTTCCGAACACTTCCGCCTAAAAGTCCAATTAATCAAATAAATATTGTGGCTAATCGGTCACTCGTCATCACGTTTTTGCAACAAATTGCCTACATTAAAATCAATCTGTTGGCAAAATGACCTTAAAAATCCAAAACCTTTTTCGGCTCAAGCCATAAAAAAAATCGAATATTTTTGGCAAATGCCTTAAAATGAACCAATTTTTGGCCACAAAAGCCTAAAATCAACCCATTTTAGCGACAAGAATCGCGTTAAATCGAACATTTATTGGCAAATTAATCGCGTAATAAAACATGATTAAGTTTAACGCCCGGTTAATTAATAACCGTGGTAGTTAAGCTTAAATCCGACAATATTGGTTAAAGAGCCTAGTTAATTAATAACTATTGTTCGATTGCCTTTATTTCGAACAATCTCGCCTAAAAGTCCAATTAATCAATAATTGTGGCTAACGGCCTCATTTAATCACGTTTTTTGGTAACAAAATTGCCTACATTTAATCAATCAATTTTGGCAACTAATTGCCTACGGTCTAATCGATTTTTAGCAAACAAATTGCTTATAAATGAGGTTAACCATTTTTTTTAGCGACAAATCGCTTAAAATCAATCTTTTGGCAAAATGCCTTAAAATCAACCATTTTCCGTTTAAAATTGTAAAATCAACCATTTTAGCGACAAATCGCGTAAAATCGACATTTTTTGGCAAAATGCCTTAAAATCAACCATTTTCGGTTTAAAACCCCAAAGGCCTTAAAATCAATCTTTTGAGCGACAAATCGTTTAAATGAACCATTTTGGCACAAATGCCTCAAAATCAACATTTTTGGAAAATCATTTTGGCTAAAAGCCATTAAAATCAACATTTTTGGCAACATGCCTAAAAATCAATCAATCTTTGGCAGAATACCTAAACAAAATGCACAAAGCATACGCACTTATGCACAAAGCATACACACTTATGCACAAAGCATACGCACTCATGCACAAAGCATACGCACTCATGCACAAAGCATACACACTCATGCACAAAGCATACACACTCATGCATTAAGCATACACCTTCAAAGCCCCAAAAGCCCTTTTCAAAGCCCTCTAAAAGAGGCCTATCGAACTACGTTGACTTTGATTTTCCATTCAAACGGAAGTACGTAGGCACGTCCGGGATTTCACCCCGGGCGGCAAGTCGAAATCACCAAAATCACTCAAACATTTCATTAATCCCTCATTTACCTTGCAAAACATTCATTCATCGGTTAGTTTATCAGCATGACATAGTCTCGGGATCCATCTCGGGTTTGCATACCATGCTTTACACATTGGGATAATTAATCTAGTAACTAGGTTAATTAAAATTGAAGTCATTCAGGGTTTTTTCCTAGTTTACCCTAAAATAATTAAACAAGGGTGGCAAACAAGGTGGCGACTCACACACTCACGTGCATTTCTTTCTTTTGTCATATGCATCACATGCCTATATGATATCCGGGGAAAGGGGTTCACAGATGTATAAAGGGTTCAGTTCACACATATTTTGACACTCTAGATAGTGGACACACACAAATGGTTAACACAGATAGGTAGATGGCAGAGATAGATAGATGAAAGAGACAGATGTCTATGTAATAGGGTTTTTGCGATTTTCTTTTTACACAATTTGTACTGATTTATGATATGTAAAAGGCAAATCATGTTGACACTTTTTGAAAGGAAATACGGTCTTATCCTTCATGAGATTGTTGCTTCTGAGCCTTAATTTTTTGCCTAAGCAGCACTTGCGGGTTTTCGACTTAGCAAGCTGCCCTAATTTATGCCTAAGCTGCCCTTTCGGGTTTTCGACTTTGCGGGCTAATACTGATTTTGCCTAAGCTGCCTGTCCTTGTAGGTTTTCAACTTAGCTTATTGATTAGTCTTCTTCTTCTTTTTTTTTTTTTTTTTTTTTTTTTTTTTGAATTTTTTTCATTAATTGGCATAGAAAATCTAGAATTTTCGTAATGCTTCACAGTGACATGAAAAAAAGGAGGCAATACTTTCCGGGAAGTCATTTTTTTTTTTTTTTTTTTTTGATTTTTTTCATTAATTGGCATAGAAAATCTAGAATTTTCGTAATGCTTCACAGTGACATGAAAAGGGGCAATATTTCCGGGAGTCAGTCACCGTAGTTTTGCTTAACAGTGACATGAAAAGGGGCAATATTTCTAGTGCTAATGCCTCAATGCATTCATACAAAATGTCTTTTGAGTTGATCCAAATTGCATGGATGGGTGAATTTGTTGCCATCTATATATGACAAGACGACAGTGCCTCTGGAGAGGATCTTCTTTAGTATGTAGGGGCCCACCCAATTTGGCCTGAATTTACTGCGAGGATCTTGCACAGGAGCTCTGATTTCCTTCTTCTAGTTTCTGATCCCGAGTTCATCTATTGAAGTGTCTGGATATTCTCTGATGGTAGCTCTAAATCTGATTAAGAGCCTTTAGTCTTCTTTCATCAATAGAATTCAACTGGTTATGATAATTTGGGGCCCACTTTGCTTTGAGCAGTCGGCTTTCTCCCATCACTCTGGCTGATCTGATATAAACATCAATAAGGAGGACTGCTTCCATCCCATATACTAGTGAATATGGTGTTGCCCCGGCTGGGGTTCTATATCCCCATAAGGTGAAAGGCAAATGCTCGTGCCAATTTCTGTGATTGTGAATCATCTTCTAAAGGATATTCTTGATGGACTTATTTATTGCTTCAACTCCTCCATTGCTCTTGGGCCTATATGGTGAAGATTGGTGGTGCTGAATTTTATACTTTGTTATTAGAGTGGAGACCTCTTCCTAGAAGTGAGACCCATTGTCTGATATGATCTCAAAAGGAATTTCGTACCTGCAAATGATGTTTAGCTGGATGAACCAAGCTAATTTCTTGGAATTCAAGACATGGTACGAGGCAGCTTCTATCCATTTAGTGGAGTAATCGATGGCTACCAAGATGTATTCATGCTGATTGGAAGACTTAAGAGTGATTCTGCCGATCACATGACCCCCAAGTTGTGAAGGGCCAAGGCGCAGCAATGGGGTGAAGTGATACTAGGGGCATTTTCTAGAGCTTGGCATAAATCTAGCACTTATGACATCTGTGAACAAACTTGGCACAGTCTGATGGCATGGTGAGCCAATAATAACCCTAATTAGTGATCTTATGGGCCAGAGCCATTCTGTTCATGTGGGGGCCTTCTTCTTCGCCATGTACCCACTCCATTATCTGCTGAGCTTCTCGTTCAGTTACGCACCTGAGATGTTCCTGATTCCATGTTCGTTTATACAAAATGTCGTCCTTGTAGAGATAGCCTTTCGATAGCTCTCGGAGAGTCCTCTTATCAGACTTAGAGCCACCTTCGAGGTATTCTTCCTTTTCTGACCAAGTTTGAATATCCCAAAACCATGGCTTGCCAGCAACGAGTTGGATATTGCAACAATAAGTTGGTTGTTGATGAATCTGAATATTCAAAGGCTTGATGACCATGTCAGGACTGGCATCAACCATGGAGGCAAGGGTAGCCAATGCGTCGACAAACTGATTTTTAGCTCGGGGTAAGTAATGAAATGACAATTCTTCAAACTGTTGAGCCAACTGATCAGGCGTCGAAGGTATGGAACTAAACACTGCTCTTTGATCTTCCATTTCTTCAGTGCTTAGGAGACTATCAGGATGGAGTCCTCATAAACTGTTAGGCGCTTGATCTGAATACTCAATGCTGCTCTAACCTTGTAATACATGCTTCATATTCTGCCTCATTATTAGTGACATGAAATGCCAACTTAATACTCAAGGCAATCGCTGCCCGTCTGGAGTTACCATAACTACACTTGTGCCGCAACCCTGATAGTTAGCGGCTCCATCAAAATACATCCTCCATTGGTCTGTTTGCATTGGAAGAATGTCTTCATCTGAAAACCTGATGTCCGCTATTTCGGCATCACTGGGGGATGCAGCTAGTTGATAATGTTGGTGTTTGGTGCATACCCATGCCAGAGAGAGGCAGAGATGTTTGATCTTACTCTATTTCAATTATGTCGCCAGCATGTGCTTACTCAGGTAGTAAACGGCATTATCCTTGTGAGAGTCTGGTGCTTCTTGTGCTAACATAGCCCCGATGGCTTCGTCAATGACTAATAAATAGAGGAGAAGTGGCTTTCTAGGCCTTGGAGACTGAAGGATTGAGCAAATATGCTTTGATCTGTTCAAAGGCTTTCTAGCACTGTTCATCCCAAGCCTTTCTTAATTTCTCAAAGATCAGTCCACAGGTGTCTGCTAGCTGTGAAACAAATCGGCTAATGTATTTAAGGCGGCCGAAGAACCTCTGAATCTCCTTTTCTATTTTAGGAGGCTGCATCTCTTGAATGGCTTTGGATTTTGATGGATCGAACTCAATTCCTCTCTTGGAGACCATGTAGCCCAGGAAGATACTAGATGGAGCTCCAAAAAGACATTTAGCAGGATTAAATTTCAAGTTATACTAGTGAAGCTTGGAGAAGAATTGTCCGAGGGCAATTAGGTGGCTTGGTCCGTCCCTAGTGTGCACAACCATGTCATCAACATACACTTCTATGTTCTTATGCATCAGGTCATGAAAGATTATGGTAGCAATCCTCTGATAAGTGGCACCGGCATTTTTAGCCCAAATGGCATCATTCTGTAACAAAAAGGTACCCCATTTGGTGATGAATGAAGTCTTCGGCTTATCCGGTGGATTGATTGGTATCTGATTATACCCTGCATATAAATCTGTGACTGAAATTATACTGGATCTCGCCATCCTGTCAATAAGCAGGTCAATGTGAGGTAAGGGGAAATCATCCTTAGGACATGCCTTGTTCAAATCATGGTAGTCGATGCAAATTCTGATCTTGCCATCTTTCTTAGGAACCGGCACTACGTTGGCTAGCCACGTTGGGTAATCTATGGTTCAATAAAGTTGCTTTCTAATAGTTTGGCTGTTTCTTCCTTAATTCTGAGGAAAATCTCTGGTTTCTACCTTCGGAGCTTCTACTTTACTGGTCTGATGTGATCATATATGGGGATCTTATGAACAACAATGTCAAGGTCTAGTCATGTCGCTAGCTGTCCATGTGAAGCAATCTAAATACTGCTTGATGATCTCTATCAACTCCTATTTACAATCACATTCATGCACAATAAATGTATATTTTGGTTAATTTTCTGTGCCAATATTTATTTATTCTTTTGTTATTTTTATTTCTTTTTCACTTTTATGTTCTATTTTTCCATCATCTCATTCAGGGTAGAGAGAGGGCAACAAGAGAACTAAAACTTTTCATTAGTGATAAAAGTGCCATGATATACATCTACATTGAGTTCAACAAAAGGATTCCCTAATTCAAAGAGGGAAGATAAAGAAGACTCAGAGGACTCGAAAGACACTAAACTGGACTCTGAACGAGACTCTAACTCAGGTTCTGCTTGTGACTCGGACTTAGGTTTAGATAGAAGAAGGGTGAACTACTCTACGCGCTCCTCCATGTACCAGTTCTAAAGGGATGCTTGGATAGGTTCTATGAGGCTTGTGGGGTCTGCTGATTGGTAATTATGCATAGGTCAAAAATAGATGTCTCCATCCTGTCCTCCCAGTCCGTTTAGAGCTAGAAAAGTGGCTCACGGTCTTTTACTGAGAGCCTGACATCAAAGAGAAGTTTAAAACCAAGAATTAATCTTTTAGTCAGAGGACAATACCAAGGTTCTTAAAACAAAAAGTAGGGCTTAGATTCCCCCTCTTTGATAAAGTAGCCATTAAGGGTTTTGAAATATGGGTGCATCGGGTGGTCCCTTGTTTCATGTCTTGTTCTTGTCAACCATTTGGCATCTTCCAACTCCTCTCGCTCTTCATCTATCATCTGAATCCGAGACCGAAGGGGGGTTCAGCAATAGGGGATTCGATGAAGGAAGCCATACCCTGCCGGTTGCAACCAAGTCCCATTCCTGGAAAATAACACATGGCTCTCATCACGTTAGCTACCAATGGGTTATTATAGGGATCAAAATCCATTGGGAAAATCTCTTTAACCAGTTCTACTTCAATAAATTGAACTGAATCGAAGGAGAAGCTGGATAGAGGGTAAACTACTAGCTCTGGCTGTATTTCCAAGAGTGGGGCCAAGGAAGGGATTTTAGATTTCCCCACTAAGTCCCTTTTGATTGTTACCACTCTATTCTCATAGGGGAATTTTAACTTTTGATGTAGAGAGGAGGCTAATGCTTTAGCCTTGTGGATCCACGGGCTTCCCAGGAGGAGATTAAACCATGCCGGGACATCCACTACCTAGAAGGGAATAATCATAACCGCAGGCCCGATTGTGACCTCTAGATCGGCCACGCCTAAAACTTCTCACCTGGTATTTTCATACCCCCTCACTATCTTATCAAATGGCATAAAGTCTTCAGCACTTAATCGTAGGCAGCTGGCCATTTTCAGAGGGCATATATTCAGAGCTGACCCGTTGTCTACCAGAACCATAGGTACTGTCTTACCCCTAGCCTAGACTGTAATGTAGAGAACATGGTTGTGGTCCCCTCCTCCAGCAGGTATCTTGTGATTAGCAAAATAGACAGCTAGTGCAAGGGGGTTCCTTGTGATAGATGCCACCAATACCTCTGTCGTGATATTAGCGGAAGTTTGACATTGATTCATGGCCTTTACCAGAGCTTGGCCATGCACATAGGAGGACTGAATCAACCCCCATATAGAAATATTAGCCTTGGTTTTCTTCAGCTGCTCCGACACCAGGTTCTCAGGTTGGGGTCCAGAGTTAGAGTTGGGCATGTCTTTGGCTAGGGTGGCAGGGTTAGGTAAAGCTTCAGGAGGAGGAGATGGGTATTGTCTCCCGCTCCAGGTGATAGCATTAATCTCCTCAAGTACGTCATTCAAATCTTTGACGTAGCATGAGTTGTCTAGGATAGGGTGGATCAGAGAGACCAAGTTAGAATCCAGCTCTTGATGAATCATATGGATGTTATTTTGGGGATGAGGGAGAGGGTTGGTGCTAATGTTCGCTTGGGGTCGAACTGGAAGTATTTGGCCACTTTTCACTAAGTCTTGAATCTTGTGCCTTAAAGTCTTGCACTCATCAGTTTTGTGTCCAGGCCCTTAGTGGAAAGAGCAGAAGGAATTCAGGTTGAAATGCTTTGGGATGGGGTTAGGCAGAGGTTCGGGTTCCTAAGGCTCTATCAACTTATCATCCACAGCCTTTTAGAAGATGAAGGAGAGAGGGACCCCCATATCCATAAAGTTGAGTCTGTCTGCTTGAACAATTGGTCTCAAAGGTGGAGGAGGAGGAAGTTGTCTTTGGCCGATCAAGTTGACCACCTCACCGCCTTTCTGAGTGACAGGAGGAACTGCATGATAGCTGACTTAGGCTTCTTATATCTGGAGGAAGAAGCTTCATCCTCTCTAATCTGGCCTAACTGGATCAGGTCCTCAATCTTTATGGCAGTAGCAATGAGGGCTCGGAAGTCCAAGAGGTACTGTGTCCTCAAGTGGTTCTAGTAGGAGGGGAGCAGATTCTTGACGATGATGTCAATTTGTTCTTGCTTGGAGGGTCGGTTAAGCATCTGAGCTGTCTTGCCTCTCTACCTCATAAGGAATGAGGAGAAGGATTCTCGGGCTCCCTGTTTGGTGGTCTCCATATCTCTCCTAGTAATTTCAACCTCCACATTGTAGTGGTACTGCTGGTTGAAGGCGCTACAGATCTCATCCCAGGTTCTCTTCTTGGCATTGTTCAGGGCAACAAACTAGCGAAGAGCAGCTTTAGTGAGAGACTCTTGGAACAACTGAGCAAGGATCTCATTGTTTACACCAAGAGGAGTGACGGCACCTACATACATTTTCAGGAGAGTCTTAGGGCATGTGGTGCCATCAAATTTGTCCATGGCAAGCATTTTAAACTTAACTGGAAGCCTAGCCTCTGGAAAGAGTGGGAGAGAGTCTACATCAATAAGGTCCTCATATATGTTAATGCTCTTGAGGACTCATTGTTTACACTAAGAGGAGTGACGGCACCTACATACATTTTTAGGAGAGTCTTAGGGCATGTGGTGCTGTCAAATTTGTCCATGGCAAGCATCTAAACTTAGCTGGAAGCCTAGCCTCTGGAAAGAGTGGGAGAGAGTTTACATCAAAAAGGTCCTCGTATTTTTTTATGCCCTTTAGGAACTTTTCGAAAAATTCCATCTTCTCCATCATCTTTTTCACCTCAAAAGAGGTAGAGTCATCCCCTATCTGGCTCGGGGTAGCAGCAGCATTAGAAGTGTCCCCTATCTTAGGAACCGACCCTAGAGCAGCTAATCACCGTTGGGTGGGGCAATAGGTTGTTCATTAGTTCCCCTATTTGATTTGGAGGAGAATTGCCATTCTGGCTGGCAATTATGAGAGTCCTTACTTCCCCCAAAATGGTCTCTCGCTAAGTGGTGATGGTGTTCTAGAGGGAGTTATTCTGCTCAGTCAACATGTTACGGAAGCGGGTTTCGTGATCCCGGAGCATTTCTTTCATCATGGCCCTGAGATCAGTAGGTGAAGCCATCGTTGTTATTTTTCTCTAGAAGAAGTAAACAAAGGAGGTAGCAGTATACAGTTTTGGGTTAGGTTTCAAAAGCATGCACAGTTAGGG